TTTCACCAAAAAAAAAGGTTGAGAAGTTAGAGGGTTGACATGTTGTGGGGTTGTTAACCAATGTCATAAACAATATATGTACTACTGTTTCATGAGAAACTATTTGTTCTGTAAGCCTTTACCTGAAGTACAATAAAAAAATAATAAAAAACAAAAAAACAGACAAACTGGAACAGTAGAGAACAGAGGATTCCCTGAGACCATCGCCCTGAGACACTCTTTAAACCTATAACTGAGCCGATCCCCTTGAGATCACCCTTTATCAAAATAGCACAGTAGTACACAAAATAAAGGATATTACCCATAAGATTGGTGCCCTACTTAAAAACCATCAGTGTGAGATCAAAACGTCAGCAATTACTCAAAAACAAAAATGTGAAAATAAGGGCACAAGGAAACTAGAGTACTGGAAAAGGAAAAAATAGAACACAGTTAAAGAGAATGTTGACACGTTGTGGTAAGTGTAACTAATGTCACTGAAGTATTTGTGTGGGAATTGTCAAATGGGAACCTAACTTGCTGTGTAAACTTTCATCAAAAACTCAATAAAATATTATTAAGAAAAAAAAGGAGAAGCCAAAATGTAGAAACAACCCAAGTGTCCATCAATAGATGAATGAATAAACACAAAGTGGTATACACATACGATGGACTGTTACTCAGCCATGAAGAGAAATGAAGTCCTGATATATGCTACAACATGGATGAACCTTGAAAACATCATGCTGAGTGAAATCAGTCAGATACAAAAGACAGATATTGTATGATTCCCAGTAAATGAAATATCTAGAATACGCAAGTTTATACAGACCTGAGGTTATAAGGGGTTACTAGGGCTAGTGGAAGAAGGGATAGGGAGTTATTGCTTAAGAGATACTAAGGTTCTGTTCACGGTGATGACAAAGTTTTGGAATAGTGTTGTTGGGTAATGTAATTAATATCACTGAATTGTACACATAAAAATGGTTAAAATGGCAAATTTTGTTATATATATTTTAGCACAACAAAATTTAAAAAAAGAGCAAAAGAAGATCTCAGATTTTCTTAAACCCTGAGCAAATTCTTAAGACCAAACACAAGACAGGAAGTCATATTAATTGTTAATGTGCTGTATCACTAGCCAAAAAATACTGCTTCTACATGATTATTGAAGAACCAAAGCGGTCTACAGACAAGCATGAAGCTGTCAAGATGGAAACAAAAAGAGGAGCAGGAGATACTCTACATAAAACGGAATAGTTGGTGAGGGTTCCTTACAGCAAGCACTGGAAGAGACAGAAGGGTCACAAGTGCTGTGTGAAGCATGCCAGATGGAAAAGGCCAAGAGAATTTTTATTTAAAAAGAAAAAGATACAAGCAACATGTTTCAGATCCAAAGAGATCCCTTATAGGTAATCTCTGACAAAAACTAATTTAGTTTATGAGTGCTATGTTACAGGCATATGCTAAGTACTTTCTGCACATTATTTCATTTGATTCTTGCAACTCTCCAGTAGATGTTATTTTGCCTTGTTTACAGATGAGAAATTGGGTTAAGAGAGGTTACCTGACTTGCCACAGGTCCCACAGCTGGTAATTGATAGAATCAGAATAAGAGCCTAGAATGGCCTTTTCCCAAAGCTTGTTCTTCACCACCCTGCCCTGCCCATTAATTTTGAGAAAAATGAACAAGAAATTTTTCTCTAGGATTTTATTTATCATAGCTGTTCCTCTATGCTTTCCTTTTTCTCTTGAACAATAAAACTCCCCATTTACTAAGGGAAGGATGGTTCAAAGAAACACTCACATATTATACCTATTACTCGTGTCTCACAGAAACCTGAAGGGCAACTCTGTGTTACAGTGAGCAGAGGCATAATTAAGAATTTCTAGCACTTGAGTGAGCGCCAAAATTTATATTACACCCCATTCCACCCTTCTTTTTTACACCAATTTTAGAACCAGATATCACCCCTCATACACACACACACACACACACACACACACACACACACCAAACCCCAGTAAGTCAATAACGTTCGTGGGTACTCATCATGTGCAAATATATGTAGAAGAAATTGTGTCCAGCTCTGTACTCTGTTTGGTTTTTGTCCCTGCCGGGTTCAGCTGTCCCCACTCTTGCACCAGCATAATTTTACCATCAGTGGAGAGAAATGGCATATTTACATCAGTCCCCAATCAACCGATACAATAATTGTTGTTGTTAGTTGCCATCGAGTAGGTTGCAACTCACGGCAACCCCATGTACAACAGAAAAAAATTGTTGCCGGGCCTTGTACCATCTTCGTGATTGTTGGTATGCTCCAGTCCATTGTTGCAGCCACTGTGTATTTTGAGTGCCTTCCAACATAGGAGGTGTCATGAATTGAATTGTGTCCCCCAAAAATATCTGTCAACTTGGCTGGGTCATGATTCCCAGTATTGTATGACTGTGTACTATTCTGTAACCTGTTGTGATTTCTTTATGTGTTGTAAACTCAATCACTATGATCTAATAAGATGGATTAGTGGCAGTTATACTGATGAGGTTTACAAGATTGAATAGTATCTTAAGCCAATCTCTTTTGAGATATACAAGAGAGAAGTGAGCAGAGACGCATGGAAAGCTCATACCACCAAGAGGGCAGTACTGGGAGCAGAGCGCGTCCTTTGGACCTGAGGTTCCTGCACTGAGATGCTCCCAGACCAAAGGAAGACTGATGACAAGGACCTTCCTCCAGAGCTGACAGAGAAAACCTTATCCTGGAGCTGATGGCCTGAATTTGGACTTGTAACTTATTAGACTGTGAGAGAATAAATTTTTCTTTGTTAAAGCCATCCACTTACAGTATTTCTGTGATAGCAGCACTGGGTGACTAAGACAGGAGGCCCGCCTTCCAGTACTATATTGAACAACATTCTATTGTGATCCATAAGGTTTTCATTGACTAATTTTTAGAAGTAGATTTCCAGGTCTTTCTTCCTAGTCTGTCTTAGTTAGACGCTCCATGGAAACCTGTTCGCCCCAGGTGACCCTACTGGCATTCGAAATACCAGTGGCATACTTTCCAACATCACAGCAACATGCAAGCCACTACAATACAACAGACTGACAGACAGGTGGTAGAAGAGAATTATTAGCTGCATCAAAAAGTCAATCTACCAGTAAAATCTGTAAGAATGTCTAATTTGATATGCACAGCATACAAAGTCAGTCATAGTCTTGCTTTCTTTCTCTATTTTGTCTTCCACTCCTCTACTCTCACACCCCACCCTAACATCATCTATGTGGAATTACTTTCCAATCCCTAAATATACATCATGCTCTTTCATGATTCTGGGTCTTTGAAAATCCTGTTCTCCCTGGGTGTTTTTCCTCTCTTTGCCACTTGGCAAACTCCATATCCTTCAAGATCCAGTTCAAAAGTTCCCTCTGCTAGAAATCCCCGTCTGTTTCTCATTTTGCTTTTCCCTTTCTATGCTCCAGTGATACTTTAACCACAGCTTTATTCTAGGGCCTGCTAATTTACGTATAGAATTTACTTACATGTTTGTCTCCCCAACTAATCTGTGAATTTCAGCACCTAGAGCAGTGCCCAACATATAAAACCAAAAAAAACAATCAAACCCATTGCAGTGGAGTCTATTATGACTCATAGCGACCCTATGGGACAGAGCAGAACTGCCCCATAGGGTTTCCAAGGAGCAGCCGGTGGATTTGAACTGCTGACCTTTAGGTTAGCAGCCAAGCTCCTAACCACTGTGCCAGCAGGGCTCCACCCAACATATAGTAAACAATAAATGTTGATCATGGCTGGTGAGTGAATAAATGAATGAGCACAAGAATCCATGCTTTTCCTCAAATGCCTTAGAATTTTAGTTCAGCCTTGTGAGTTTATGCACGTACTTTGGTGTTACTGACATAATTACTCTCCCTGAATTCAAATAATGCTGAAAACACTGATTTTATTCAACAGAAAAAAAACCTACTTTGAGTTAGTGGGAGTATAGGAGATGTGGTGAGCTCACAGGACAGAAGTTCAGGAACCGCAAAAAGGGAGAGGTCTAGGAGTAGGAAGGAAGTGACTAAGAAAGGGAGCATACTAACTAGTTTGCTGTTATCATCGCAGAAACCAACAATAGCTCTAATTTACATTAAGTCGCCTCAACACAAGGAGTAGTCTTGATTCCTTGGCTGATTTTCCTTAGATGACAGTGCTTAGCTTTCTGGCCCTTGGCAGAGGCAAGACCTTCTCCTGCTGAGTCATTTGTTGCAGTTCTCTTTGGCATTATTCCTCTACGGAGAATGTATTTCCTCTTCCTATCCATCAACATTGTTTTCTTGATAAATTCTGCAGCTATTGTCGTTACAGTGTGTAAGTACCTTTTTCCATGGAAATTACATAGTGTGGTTAATGAACATTTTGTGTAAAATGTTTTCTTGTCACATCCTCTGATTTATTCTCAAGAAATTAACTTAAAGAGAGGGGTAAGAGAGAAATATGCTTCTAAGAGCAAGGACATTTCAAATATAAGCTATTTGTGTTAAGAGACTTTATGTTCACAATCAAGACTAACATTTTAAGTGAACAGAATTTACTGAGGAAAATAGGAAAATCTTATAGAAGATATTTCAGTAATTCATTTAACCAGCAAATGCCTGGCAGTACTCTGCTAACTTCTAGCTGCTCACGATCCATGGAAAATACTCTAATTATATGCAAAGTGATAAGAGGGAGAATAGAGATAATCTATGTAATAGGTATGAATCTCACCTCACAAACTTACATGCACGAGAAATATATTTTATTATTTTTTATAATTATGCTTTTTTTTCTTTTACTCCAAGCTCCTATCTTCCAGGCCAGTAGAAAGTCCACCAGCTGCTCCTTCAAAACTCTATGGGGCAGTTCTATTCTGTCCTATAGTGTCGCTATGAGTCAGAATTGACTTGTTGGCAATGAGCTTTTTTTCGTTTTTTTTTTTTTGTAATGTTAGAAATTTCTTCACCATCTTCTCATATGAGTCACTGGCATGGGGGACAATGGAGGGCAAAGGAGTTTCTCTCTGGTTATTGTTCATCTTTAGCTGTGTCTGCAGGGTCTCTCAGGACCTGGGGCCTTCTACTGCCTCTGTGTCCTGCAGGGAAAACAGGCAGTTATCACAAGGCTGCCCTTGGTTTTCTCTGCCTAAGTTCCCCAGGCAGCCAGTCTTCTTTGCGACCTGGCTGCAGAGAGGCAGAATCATGAGGTGTTTAAGATGGCTGACTTTGGCATCACTTGGACTCTCATCGTGGTAATAACATGACATATCCGCATGACCCTGGGCAAAACTCTTTAAATTTCCTAAGCCTCAGATTTACATCTGCAAAGTGGAGATATGTATATTACCTACCTCATAGACTTGTTGTGAGAAGAAAATGAGAATTTAATATAAAGTGCATAGCACAATACCAGGCACATAGTAAGTGTTCAGTAAGAGCTCTCCACTACCATCATCACTGCCATTGTTTTGTTGGTATTGTTATTATTATTATCAACCCTAACCTGCTCAGGTCACCACCAGGAGGAGTGCATAGGTCCTCTCTGTTCTCAGGACCTACAGATCTCTTTCTCCTCCTCACTTCCCCAGCCCAGTCTTTCTCATCTGATAGAAAGATCCTATGTTTTCCAGCATTTTCCCTGAGATTCTCCATCTCCAGTTACACCTTAGAAGTACAACTTAGTATTTTTCCTAGGGGAGCCTACCATAATATCCTCAATAGCTTTACATTTTTTAGGAGAAATTCTTTTCCTAAAATCTTAGCTAGCAAAGAATAGCGAAGAGGGAAAAAGGGAAAATATAAAATGAAAAAAAACATTAATTTGTATCTCAAAATACTATCTAACCATACTAATACAAAACCGAAAAAAAAACCAAACCCGTTGCCATCAAGTCGATCCCAACCCTTAGCGACCCAATAGGACAGAGTAGAACTGCCCCATAGGGTTTACAAGGAGTAGCTGGTAGATTTGAACTGCTGACCTTTTGGTTAGCAGCCATATCACTTAACCACTGTGCCACCAGGGCACCCACTAATGCAAAGTGGTACTAGTGGAAAGTGGTATGAAAATGTTAAAAACAGAAAAATTAACTCCTCCTGGAGAAAGAGCAGAGAAAGGTAAAGTGATCAAAATTGATCCCAAAGGGATGACAGCATGTTCAATGGGGCAAAGAAGGGTGGGGAAAGGCTTTTACCACCTTATTGTAACCTCTCTGAGGGAAGGGACAAATTCTACTTTGTTCTTCCTTGTATCTCTAATCTTGCTGGTGCCTGGCATATTGTAAATATTTAATATATTTTTATTGGGTAAATAAAATTTGGTGAGAAGAAATAGAATATACAAAATTATGAGCCTTAAAAAAGATAAGATGTTCAGAAAAGTAACAGGTAGATGGAAGCATAGCATTAAAGGCTGAAGATAGAAAAAAAGGGAGAGTAAAGAATGAAAGTAAATAATGTATGAAACTAGACAGAACCCTCCTGCATCTGCAAGTTTGTTGTATTGTGGAGGCTTGTGTGTTGCTGTGATGCTGGAAATTATGCCACTGGTTTTCAAATACCAGCAGGGTCACCCATGGAGGACAGACTAGGAAGAAAGACCCAGCAGTGTTCTTCTGAAAAGAATTAGTTGGGGAAAACCTTATGAATAGCAGCAGGACATTGCCTGATATAGTACCGGAAGATGAGCGCTCCCCCAGGTTGGAAGGCACTCAAAATATGACTGGGGAAGAGCTGCCTCCTCAAAGTAAAGTTGACCTTAATGACGTGGAAGGAGTCAAGCTTTCAAGACCTTCATTTGCTGATGTGGCACGACTCAAAATGAGAAGAAACAGCTGTAGAAATTCATTAATAATCACATCGTGAAATGTACCATGTATGAATCTAGGAAAATTGGAAATCATCAAAAATGAAACAGAAAGCATAAAAACTGATATCCTAGGCATTAGTGAGCTGAAATGGACTGGTATTGGCCATTTTGAATCAGACAGTCATATGGTCTACTATGCCGGGAATGACACCTTGAAGAGGAATGGCATTGCATTCATCCTCAAAAAGAATATTTCATGATCTATCCTGAAGTACAACGCTGTCAGTGATAGGATAATATCCATATACCTACAAGGAAGACAATACGACTATTATTCAAATTTATGCACCAACCGCTAAGGCCAAAGATGAAGAAATTGAAGATTTTTACCAACTTCTACAATCCGAAATTGATTGAACATGCCATCAGGATGCACTGATAATTACTGGTGATTGGAATGCAAAAGTTGGAAACAAATAAGTAGGCTTGGTAGTTGGAAAATATGGTCTTGGTGACAGAAACAATGCCGGAGATCACATGATGGAATTTTGCAAGACCAATGACTTCTTCATTGCAAATACCTTTTTTCAACAACATAAACGGCTACTATACACGTGGACCTCGCCAGATGGAATACACAGGAATCAAATCGACTACGTCTGTGGAAAGAGACAATGGAAAGCTCAATATCATCAGTCAGAACAAGGCCGGAGGCCGACTGCAGAATAGACATCAATTACTCACATCTAAGTTCAAACTGAAACGGAAGAAAACCAGAACAAGTCCAAGAGAGCCAAAGCACCACCTTGAACATATCCCACCTGAATTTAGAGACCATTTCAAGAATAGATTTGATATGTTGAACACTAATGACTGAAGACCAGATGAATTGTGGAATGACATCAAGGACATCATATACGAAGAAAGCAAGAGGTCATTACAAAGACAGGAGAGAAAGAAAAGTCCTAAATGGATGTCAGAAGGGACTCTGAAACTTGCTCTTGAATGTTGAGTAGCTAAAGCAAAAGGAAAAAATGATGACGTGAAAGATCTGAACAGAAGACTTCAAAGGGCTGCTTGAGAAGACACAGTATTTTGATGACATGTGCAAAGATCTTGAGATAGAAAACCAAAAGGGAAGAAGAACACACTCAGCATTTCTCAAGCTGAAAGAACTGAAGAAAAAATTCAAGCCTCAAGTGCAATAGTGAAGGATTCTACAGGGAAAATATTAAATGACACAGGAAGCATCAAAAGAAGATGGAAGGAATACACAGAGTCACTATACGGAAAAGAATTGGTCAATGTTCAACCATTTCAGGAGGTAACATATGATCAGGAACTGATGGTATTGAAGGAAGAAGTTCAAGCTGCACTGAAGGCATTGGCAAAAAACAAGGCCGTGGGAATTGACGGAATACCAGTTGAGATGCTTTAACAAATGGATGCAGTGCTGGAAGTGCTCACATGTCTATGCCAAGAAATTTGGAAGACAGCTACCTGGCCAACTGACTGGATGAGATCCATATTTATGCCCATTCCCAGGAAAGTCGATCCAACCGAATGCAGAAATTATTGAACAATATCATTAATATCACATGCAAGTAAAATTTTGCTAAAGATCATTCAAAAGCAGCTGCAGCTGTATTTCAACAAGGAACTGCCAGAAATTCAAGCCAGATTTAGAAGAGGATGTGGAACCAGGGACATCATTGCTGATGTCAGAGGGATCCTGGCTGAAAGCAGAGAATACCAGAAAGATGTTTACCTATATTTTATTGACTATGCAAAGACATACATGATGTTGCTTATTGGTCCAGTTGTAAGGATTTTTGTTTTCTTTATGTTGAGGTGTAATCCATACTGAAGGCTGTAGTCTTTGATCTTCTCATCAGCGAGTGTTTCAAGTCCTCTTCACTTTCAGCTAGCAAGGTTGTGTCATCTGCATATCATAGGTTGTTAATGAGTCTTCCTCCAATTCTGATGCTGAGTTCTTCATATAGTCCAGCTTCTCAGATTATTTGCTCAGCATACAGATTGAATAAGTATGATGAAAGGATACAACCCTAACATACACATTTTCTGATTTTGAACCAGGCAGTATTCTGTTCAAACAACTGCCTGTTGGGCTATGTACAGGTTCCACATGAGCACAAGTAAGTGTTCTAGAATACTCATTCTTCACAATATTATCCATAATTTGTTATGATCCACACAGTCGAATGACTTTTCATAGTCAACAAAACATAGGTAAACATTTTTCTGGTATCCTCTGCTTTCAGACATGATCCATCTGACATCAGCAATGACATCTCTGCTTCCACATCCTCTTCTAAATCCAGCTTGAATTTCTGGCAGTTCCCTCTCGATATACTGCTGCAACCGTTTTTGAATTATCTTCACCAAAATTTTACTTGCATGTGAATTTAAGCAGGGGAGTGACAAAATCAGATATAAATAACAAGGATACGAAGCAAGACTAGAAACAAGAGAAAACAGAGAACTGGCAAAGTCTTCAGTGGTCC